CCTAAACCCTAAACCCTAAACCCTAAACCCTAAACCCTAAACCCTAAACCCTAAACCCTAAACCCTAAACCCTCACCCTGAAGCCTGAACCCTGAAGCCTGAACCCTAAGCCCTAAACCCTAAGCCCTAAGCCCTAAGCCCTAAACCCAAACCTAAGCCCTAAGGCCTAAGCCCAAAGCCCTAAGCCCCAAAAAACCCTAAACCCCAAACGCTAAACCCCAAACCCCCAAACCCCAAACCCCAAACCCTAAGCCCTAAACCCTAATTTCTACTTGTATTCTACGAAATGCCTGCGTGGAACAGCTTATAAATAACTTTTTAATAGTGATTTACAGAATACGAGACAAGTAAATGAGAGAAGTCTTGTCTTGATTTGTATGAAACGTGCTTATAGAGAATTTTCACTATGATCCCAAACAAACTCTAAACCAAATATGCCTTTTTTTTTTCAAAGTATATCTTTATTTAATAATACTGTCAATAAAGAACGGGCTACCCTTGAGGGCTAGCCTGTGAAGGCCTAATGCCTAAAAAAGTCAGCCCTTTTATGTTATTTTTTAAAATGTAAATTCTTTTCAATATTTTGAGATAAAAAAATGAAACAATAAAACTTCTAAAAAATTTTATTCAAATTATAATATTAGTAAATTAAACTAATGATGTATAGAGAAAAACATCAAACAGTAATAAGTTATTATCCAAACTTAAAAAAAACAAATAAATTAAGTAAAGCAAAAGGATAAAAATTAAGTAACAAAAGATTAACAACTTTATTGTTTAATGAGAAATCAAATAAGAGAGAAATTAACAATTATATAATAAAGGATGATGAAAAGTGGAGAATTAATTTAATGTTTAAACAATCTTTAGTAAAATCCAATAAAAAACCAAACCAATTCAAATTTTGAGATCTTGTAAATAACACCAAAGGGGTAGCTAATTATAAATGTGAACGCTTGGGGACATGTTTCATCAAATTGATTTCTTCATTTCTTTTGGGATTAAACCAATTTCTACCGGCCAGCCAAAATAGAAAAATAATGCCTACCTTCCACTAGCATAAAATTTGTCTGGAAGGAAGATAGAGAGATTGTCTAAGGACGGAAGTGAGAATTGGAAGAAGGGCATCGAGGGGAATGCTGTCACAAATGGCGCTTCACGCATTTAGCGAGTATTTACAAGTCAGACAGGAAACCTCCAAGCAGCGAAGGTCGACGAAGTGAAGAATGGTGGCGGTCGACGAAGCGAATCTTAAGAGAGGCGGAGAATCAAGGACCTAAACCAACCTCCTCAAATTCGCAAAGAATATAGCAGCTAACTGCCATTGGCTACATGCAGTTCTCAAACGTCCCATGAGTTGTAACTTTTCCCAAACTCTAAATAGTTTTAAGAGTTTAACTCGATAACATTATGCAAATTCACGAGTAGCATCAAGTAAATTATGCACCTTTAAAACCATAACAAGTCCAAGTAGTTATTGACAAATTATGTACTTTCCACGCAAGACTGATGAAGTAAAGGCACAACGAAGGAGAATCAAAGAAGTTAACGACAGCAGATTTCATGCAGAAGGGCAATCATAGGCGACTAATCACAGCTTCCACCTCCGAGGGAGAATAGAGATGGTACGTCGGAGCCACCTTAGCAATGTCAACGTTATTGGGAGTCACCTGAAATTTTGGGGGGAAAAAATAGAACGGAAACACGTTATTTTCCAGGCACAGTACGGTATGTAGAGAATTTTTTTTTTTTAATGGATCTGAGGATTTTTTTTTTTTTTTAATGGTTTGTCGATGAAAATAAACTAAAATAGCACAATTTTAGGGTATTTTTCTCTGAAAAATTACACAAATTCAAAACTGCATTATTTCATCACCATAAAATATTAAAATGTCCTTCATTTTATGAAGAATCTAATAGTCAAAAAGAAGAAAAAAAAAAACATTTGGGAAGTTGAGGCATCACAAAATGTATTAGAGAGCAATAGCGGGATGCACATAAGGAGACTTGAAATTAACTTCAACAGTATTCAACATTTTTGTTTTAGTATAAACTTCCGCAATATTTTATTACATTTTTAAAGATTCCATGACAGCGTTGTAACTGAGCCTTAGTTTAGGGGAGGTAAAACTCATCCCCACTCTCAGAACATCCCAGAAGACAGTTTTGAAAGAAATGATGGGAGCAGAAAATCATTATAATCATGGTACCAGAAGCCAGGAAGAGGATGAGAAATTAGCACAATAAATAAAATATTTAGCATTAAATTTATCCTTACCTTCTCTTCCATAACTTGCTTGAGAATGGATAGAGCGATGGTCTCAGCTTCTTGAAGAGTTAGGTCCTGCAAAACAAGTATGTCATGGACACCCAATTTTCATGCCATATGGATACCTCTGGAAAGAGAATCTGCCAATTCAGCATATGCAAAGTGATATACAAAGAGGAATGGATACTTTATTTTGATATCAAAACATTTATCTGATTTTAACATTGCATAGACCACAAAATAGCTAGTAGATTAACGGAACCAAAGATAAATGGAAGTCGCTTGATTCAAGGTACATACTAGTAAGTCATACACATAAAATGTTGCATACTTGTTTTAAAAGTATAGATGAAAGGATAACAATATGCTATTTTAGTACCTACAATGAAAGGAATATGCTTAATTTCTAAAGAATGAGATGAAATAATGGTAGAGATGTGTCGGAATTTAATCTTTTGGGGTACCAGACGAAAATATTTATGGTTTTACCTGTAGGTTCAATCATAGAAATGCCACAAGTACAAATTTTAATACACGTTTACTCCTCTATCGCCATTAAGCTACTTATAAGCATTTTGTCCCCACATCCATTTATTATCAATTTTCTACTCCTCTTTACACTTAGTATCATCTCTCGCAATCACATTTTATTGTTACAGACAGTAATAATACATGAAGAAACAGCCCATCGTCAGACCATGCATACCTTGTTGTATTGTTCTTGCAGAGAACTGTCTGCTCCTTCTGAGCCTGAACCAATAGCTTTAGCATTGCATTGCCAAAATGTTCCTGACGGATCAGTATAATATCTGCAAATCAGAAGCGAGAGTCAGCTAAAGATCCACAAAATGAAACGACTTCAGAAAGGAAATGGTATCAACAAGACCAGCAACAACAAAATAATTTCCCTTAGAGCATGTAAACATATTGGAGTATTTCCCCGTTAACGTAAATAGTATAGAATCAGATATTATTCTTAGGATATCATTACGATATTATAAGTCATTAAGACTGAGGTTCCTCTCCCTTGTATAAATGTACCCCTTCTAACGTTGAATAATACAAGAAATTCATTCCAGTTTTCCTCTAAACTGAATAGAGGATAAAGGAATGGATCCTGCAAAATGAAAAAGTCAAACGAATAACAAGCAGCATTATTTGATATACGCATGTCCATAACAATTATATAGATTGGGCCTCCATATAGACCAGGATTATCCTCAGGAAAGTAAAGGAACAATTGTGCAAGATACTGCTAATACCATCAGTTATGAGACGAATTACTTTTAGTATTTTTCTTCCTCTTAATTCCAAATCTATAGCATTCTAGTAAAAAGCTTGCATCAGATTCTAAGAACAAACTCAAGCCTTCCATGAAAGGCCAGAAAGCCCACGCCAAAATATTCCTGCAGCAGCATGGTTCCTTTTTTTTTTTTTTTTAATTCTGTCAGCCCTTGTAAATATTATTCAACAGTTTTTATTTTTTATTATTTTTATAAAGTGGGGGACAGCGTACACTAATTATTTTCTATTCCCAAAATCACGTTTTTAAATCTATTCCTTTCTAATCGATGTGCCAAATGGGCTATTGAAAACACATTTCTACAAGTCTCCAAGGATTTACAACATTCCATAGGGACAACGGGAGGTAATTCCTTATGAATCCACTCAACTGGCAATAAATGATTACTGATAACTAGATTCGGTTACCACATGCCAAATAAGGGATTTAACTGGTAGGATGCCCACCTTATTACCTATAGTAGGAGAAAGAAAGACCTAGTAGGATGCAACCTATCACTTTGAATCAAGGGAAAATATTTTTCCCATAGAATCATCGGTAATAATCTAAAGTATGGTTTTATGAAGAAGATAGGCAATGAATATTTTATGAAATTCAAGCGATTCTCCAATTCTTCGCTTGTGTATGAAGTTAGATTCTGACTTGTTCCAATAAATAATTCACCTACTGTTATTCCCATTACCCTAATTCTATCATTAACCCTGAAGACCTTTGCATTTATGATGGATCAGCAAAGCTATAACAATTGCGGCAATGAAATAAAGAAAAATCTGAAAGAATAAAGAAGGGCAGGAACAAGAGGTAGGAGGGCGCAGTTTAAAAAGTAGTTGACAGGAGCATATAAAGAGGAAGGCTGCGAAAGAAGGGAGTAGGAAGAATTTTGACAAGCTTTTGTTGGAAAGCCAACCTCTTGATAGTTGGCAAACCAGTGTTCTATTATTAAAGAACCTACTCTCGTATTTTTTGTGCCTGTAGTGTGTATTGTGAACTAAGGTGTGCGTCCTTTTTCTTGTGAGATTCAAGGGGAGTGACTTATTTTGGCTGCATACTAAGCTCTTTTCCAGAAAAAATTCTGATAGGACCCCTGAAAGATTTAGGTGGAGTTATTCTAGGAGGCAGAAACAGGGTCGAGAAGAGTAGGTGACTCAGAATTTAGTTGTTGCTGATTATTTGTGATTTTTATTTCTTTTTGTTCATTGTTCCTATTTTCTTGGTTGGTTAGTTGCAGAATAAGGGGAGTACGCCCACTCAAACTTAGGAGCAATCATTTGAATTCTTAAACTACTTTCTTGATTTTTCTCTCCGTAAACATTATAAATTGGCATCATGCCCCCAGAATAAAGCATCACATAATTCAAAGAGTATTACTTTGTGTGGGAGATTCTCCTAGGTCTATTGAGATCCTTACCTTACTTGTTAGTAGCAGAATTCTATCCTTCTTTCTGCTTTTATTTTCTTTGTCCTTGTTAGCTGATTTGGTCTCTACCATTTTTGGCATCAGAGCCATGGCTGAAACTAGATCATCACACAATCCGCCTCAACCTGAAAATCCGTTCACAGGGGAAAATGACCCATTGGTTACTATTGCTAAAAGACTTCAAACACTAGAGATACAGGCAGACAAAGTGGCAGGCTTAGAGGCTGCCTCTAAGTGGAGTAGAAGACAGGGAACGCGCTCACACTAGGAGGCTGATAGCAAAGATGACCCTGAATACTCATTTAGATGTCGCATGCTGTATATTGAATTTTCGAAATTCAGTGGAGGTGACCCTAAAGGATGGATTCTGAAAGCTAAGAAGTACTTCAAGTACTATGATACACCAAAAGATTTGAAGGTCGATATGGCATCCATGTATCTCAAAAGGGATGCTCTAGACCTCTTCTTGTGGATTAATGGCGAATCTACGATGCTATATTGGGATGAATTGGTCAAAGCTCTTCAAGAATCATACAATCCTCCAAAATACCAAAACCACGATGACTACCTATGTAGCATTCGCTAGACCGGTACTATTACTGACTATCGTGCGGAGTTCGCTCGTCATTCAACCCACGTCAAGAACTAGCCACAACACTACTTGATCAAAGTATTTATCAATGGCTTGAAAGAAGAACTAAAAACCGATGTCAGGCTGCATAAGCCACGCACAGTGTTTAGGGTTACCAGTTTGGCCCAAGAATTTGAAAACAAACTAAAAGTTGCACCTAGGCTTAGGCCCACTCACTACTTGGGTCCAAATCGACAAAGCCCATCAAATTCCCAGAACATAAGGGACACTAAATCACTTCAAATGAGCAGAGCATCTAGGGGTTCAACCTCAGGTACCAAACCAGTTCCTTCGGCCATGTCTTCTGAAATTCAGCAACGTCGTGAGAAGGGCTTATGTTTCCGATGTAGCAAACCATTCAGACTAGGTCATCGCTGTGTTGGAACATTTTTGCTCATGGAAATAGCAGAGGAGGGAGAAGAGGTGATGCCTCCCTTAATTGAACTAGAGGCAAAAATCGAGATTGCAGAAGCAAAGATTTCGTTCAATGCCATTTTGGGAAGATCTTCGGCTTCCACCATGCGTCTACAGGGGTCTTTAAGGGGCCAAAAGGTACTTATATTGGTTGATAGTAGGTCCACACATAATTTTGTGTCCAAGGCAGTAGTGACCGAATTAAAACTTCAAGTCCAGCAAGTTCAACCATTTGGGGTTCAAATCAGAAATGACAATACCATTAGATGCAATCAAGTATGTTCTGCTTTGGAGGTAATCTCATATTTAATCATTAAGCAAGACTTCTTCCCTTTCTCGCTGAGGGGAACTAATTTTGTCTTGGGAATCAAGTAGTTAGCTTCTTTGAACAAAATTAAAGCTAACTGGAATGAGATGTTTATGATCTTCTGGGTCAACGAGAAGAAATACAAGGGATATTCATTAATCCCAAAGCTGATGTGCAGTTGCCAAGCCTAGTAGTAGCCCAAGTCACATTTCATTTAATGTGAGTTCGAGACATTAAATGTCAACTCTATTTGCAGTGAATTTCCAAACTTTTTGGTGAACCCTCTGCTTTACCTCTCCATAACCTTGAAAACGGATGCAACCCCCCCAAGCCTGAGACCTTACGGATATCCTCATTCCTAAAAAAATGAAATTGAGGCACAAGTTGCAGAATTATTAAGACAGGGTTTTATTAGACCCAACTCCAATCCCTTTGCCAACCCTATTTTATTAGTAAGCAAGGAAGATGGTCCAAGACGACTCTATATTGATGAGTTATTAGATGAATTACATGGGGCTACCTATTTTTCAAAAATTGATATACAGTCTGGTTACCATCAAATACTTGTACTACCCTCTAACATTCACAAGACTGCTTTCAAAACTCATTCAGGGCATTATGAATTTGTAGTAATGCCCTTCATTCTTACTAATGCACCTACAACCTTTCAATCAGTTATGAATGACTTATTCAGGCCTTATTTAAGGAAGTTTTTGTTAGTCTTTTTTGACGACATCCTAGTGTATAGTTCCTCTGCTCACCAACACTTAGACCACCTCCAGCTTGTTTTGCAGACTTTACAGGAACATTCTTTCTATGCAAATGCTAAGAAATGCTCCCTGGGTCAAACAAAGATTGACTATCTAGGCCATATTGTTACAAAAAATAGAGTAGAGGTAGTTCCAAAAAAGATTGCAGCAATTATAAACTAGCAGCCCCCTACAAACGTTAAGGAGCTACGAGGTTTTTTTGGGGCTTATAGGTTATTACCAGCATTTAACTACCAAGAAGGACACCTTCTCATGGACAGAACAAGCCCAATCTGCATTTAACTACTGTATCAATCCTAAAGCTGCCTGATTTTAATCTCCCTTTTACTGTTGAATATGATGCATCCATGGAAGGGATAGGGGCAGTCCTCATACAAGAAGGGCATCCGATAACCTATTTAAGTAAAGGGTTCTCTCTTTCAAACTGGTTTAAATCAGCCTATGATTGGGAGTCATTGGCATTAGTACTTGCCATTCAAAAATGGAAGCACTACCCCCGAGACCCCATTTCACTGTACAAACAAATCATTATAGCTTAAAACACTTACTAGACCAGAAGATTGTGACCAACTCACAGTAGCAGCTGCTCATAAAGTTACAGCCCTTCAATTCTTCCATCATGTATAAATCTGGAAAGAGTAATGCAGTAGCTGATTCTCTCTCTAGAAGACCTCAACAAACTCATTTCTTCTAGTTAGTAGTTCTAATGGTAGATGATCTTGCACGTCTTCCTCAAGCTTTACTAGAGGATCCAGACACCAAGGCCATAATTGACAATTTGCAGCAAAATCCGAATCCAACTTTTGACTACAGTGTGGCGAGTGGTCGGTTATACTACAAATCAAGGCCGGTAATACCTAACCAAGCTGAACTTCATAATAAATTAATGGAGGAAGTACATGCTACACCTACTAGTGGTCATGGGGGCTATCTCAAAACATTGAAGAGGTTAAGTGCTCACCTACGTTGGAAGGGATGAAACAGGATGTCAAGCACTTTATTAAGAGGTGCACTAGCTGCCAGCAAAACAAATATCAAACTTTGGCACCTGCAGGACTCCTCCAACCACTTCCTATCCCAAAACAGATTTGGGAAAACATCTCCCTCAATTTCATTACCGACCTCCCACAATCTAAGGGCTATAATGTGATATTGGTAGTAGTGGACAGATTAAGCAAATATGCTCACTTCATGGATTTGACACACCCCCACACTGCTAAAACTGTGGCTCACATATTCTGTAAAGAAATAGTACGCCTCCATGGGATGCCTCACTCCATAGTCTCTGATCGAGATTCTCTTTTTCTAAGCATGTTCTGGCAAGAGTTATTCCATTTAAGCCAAACCCCCTTGAATATGAGCATAACATACCACCCCTAATCTGATGGTCAAACAGAAGTAGTAAACCATTGCTTAGAAACTTACTTAAGGTGCTTTGCTCATGAACAACCAAAGAAATATAGTGATTTCTTATGCTAGGCTGAATACTCTTTCAACACAAGTTACCACGTAGCTGCAAAAAACACCCCATTCAAACCGGTGTATGGACGGGATCCCCCACCCTTAGTTCCTTACATCAAGGGAGAAATAGCAATGGCAAACCTGGAAGAACAGCTAGAACTCTAGGATGACATGCTTAAGGTCTTGCATGATAATTTGCTGAAAGCACAGAACCACATCCACATGAAGGGACAAGCTGATCGCCACCACCGAGATCTACAATTTACACCAGGAGATGTAGTATGGTTGCGACTGCAGCCATACCGCCAAAAATCATTAGCAAGGCGGAGGTTTGAAAAGCTATCACCCAGATTTTTTGGCCCTATAAAGTTCTACATTGCATTGGGAAAGTGGCATATGAATTAGAGCTACCACCGATTGCTAAAATTCATCCCATATTCCACGTGTCCTTATGAAGACTTGCTTTTGGATAGGATCTACCACCAATTCCAGCAATGCTACCCTTATCGTCGGACATGGAATTACAACTTACTCCCTCACACGTGCTGCAACATCGCTGGACAACCAGTAAGAGTCTAGAATTATTGGTGCAATGGACTGATAAACCAATCGAAGAAGCAACTTGGGAAGACTATGACTTGCTAGCTGCACAATTTCCTCAATTTCGACTTGAGGACAAGTCGTTTTTTCAAGGGGGAGGTAATGATAGGACCCCTAAAAGATTTAGGTTGACTTATTCTAGGAGGCAAAAAGGGGTCGAGAAGATTAGGGGATTCAGAATTTAGTTGTTGTTGGTTATTTGTGATTTTTAGTTCTTTTTGTTCATTGTTCCTATTTTCTTGGTTGGTTAGCTACGGAATAAGTGGGATATGCCCCCTCAAACTTAGGAGCAGTCATTTGAATTCTTAAACTACTTTCCTAATTTTTCTCTCTGTAAACATTATAAATTGGCATCATGCCCCCAGAATAAAGCATCGCATAATTCAAAAAGCATTACTTTCTATGGCAGATTCTCCTAGGTCTATTCACAAGTAAGTGTGAGATCCTTACCTTACTTGTCAGTAGAAGAATTCTATCCTTCTTTGTGCTTTTATTTTCTATCTTTGTTAGGTGATTCGATTTCTACGATATTTCCACATTAATATCAGCACTCAATTACTTTGCCATACATTATGTAATGCATGTATTCTGTTGACAAGAGGTTCCAAACACAAATCTTCACCTAACCTCCAGCAAACAAATAGATAGAATACACCCTATTGTACCCAGTGAGAGACGATGTGCCAAACCAAGGGAAAAGGAAAAACAAGGAATAGATAATGTTTAAGAGAACAAAAGCATGTAATTGAAGGACCTTATAGGCATAGAGTTTGTACTAAAGGGATATACAAATAAATATTCTTCACAAATTCACAAATCCATGCACAGACATGTATAAATTGCATTCTACCACTATTAAAATGAAATAAACAATCAGTGATAGCCATAATATTGTAGTACACGTCACAAGTAGCCATTGCACAGTAAAATAAAGACGTGTACTCACAAACTAGGTCCGTTCTCATCATGCCCCGCAATGAGGAGAGACACTCCAAAGGGTCGTGACTGTCAAGATGAAGAAAAAATAAAGATCACACATTAAAATGCATACTTGGCAGATTTGGAAAGTAAAACAAAAGCTAAAATGCTGGAGCAACCAAATAAAAATAAGGATATTTTCCAAGAGCAAGGCAGGCATTAATGGCCACCATGAAGATGAAATACCAGAGCAAGCATAAGAAAAAGGGTAAGAGATGTCAAAGAGAGAAGGAGAGCTAATAGAACTTTTACTAATGAATCTATTAACGTTACCAAACGCTAACTAGTAAAGACCTATATTAAATTCCAGATACATTTTAAAACATAGGATAAAATTCAAGATAGAAGGAAGATCCTAACCAAATAGTAAAATCAAAAGAAAATAAGAGAAAATATATCAAAGATAACTTATTCAAACTCTAACTTACTCTGAATTTTAGAATCTCATTTTTTATATTTATCCATAATTCCTAATTTACAAATAATGAATACTTTTTTTCAATCTCTTTCCAGAATCTATTGTTCTCTCCAACATGAGAGAACTTGATCTCAAGTTCTGAAGTAAGAAAGTAGTAGAATAATCCATCATGTGACCTCAAGTAGGTTATAGACAAAACTTCCAAGACATGAGAGCCCTGATTACTTCAAAGTTTCCAATAAATTTGAAATAATAAACCCAATTAGATTGGATGGATGTTGCAATTAAATTTGAATGAAATATTCTACCAGTTTAACTTCAAATTACTGCCCAAAATTAGCATGAACTTCATTCTCTAAAAATGTATGACGTGTATAGGCATACATCATCAAAACTTAAGTGATAATATGTTCAAAAAATTTATGGAAACTTAAGCAATATGAGATGCCTCAGTCCCACATTTGAGTATTATAAGATGCTCAATGAGTTATTTAAAACTAAGAGGGCAGGCTCTCCCACCTCAATAGTGAGGTTTTAGGAGAGGATTCCCTATCCAAAATGAATTATTAGTTGGTGGCAACGATGGTGAATAACAATGCCCCATTGCCCTTGATTGGCAAGGAAGTCAAGTGCTAAGATGTCAACTCTCCAAAGACGAGGTGCATTAGTCCTATAGTGAATAGAAACTCTATTCCTATTTATAAGTCACTTATAACCCAAGTCTGCAAAACAAGAATGCATTGAATTTATAATATTGTTTCACATTTGACCTCATTAAAGAAAGGATATTAAAAATATTTTTATATTTTATCTCACATATTTCCTTTATCTTTTTCTGCATTTATTAAGTCAACAAAGATACAACAACAACAACAACAACAACAAGCCTTATCCCACTAGGTGGGTCGGCTACATGAATCACACGACACCATTGTGCTTTGTCAACAACCCAGTCCTTAAATATGTTGTTGATTAGGAGATCTCGTTCAATGACCTTATTGATCGTTCTTCTCGGTCTTTTTATGGGACTCCATAATGTCTGATCTACCCTCCTCACCTGATCTACCAAAGAAGGCCATTGGAGGCCCTGATGAGGAGGGTAGATTAGATATTATGGAGTCCCATAAAAAGGGATAGAGGAAGACTTATATTTAGGAAAACTTTTTCTCTGCAGGTGACTTATAAATAGGAATATAGTATGAGAAACTCAATAGGAAATTTAGGTGCGCTAGTTCACCAATCTCAATAGCTATGTTTTGGGAGGGTTGCCCATCCTACTTAAGTGCCACCCACCACCAATTAATATTTATCGATTTACAGTTCAGAAATTATCCCTAGGATATTTGGAAGAAGAATTAAAGCCAAAGAATACGAAGTTATCTTCCAATGATTTGATAATAACAGTAGTTAAAAGCACTTCAACTCCACATGAATTCTTCCATTCCATTGTTCTTCTCCAAAGTTAAAATATTCCAATCCCTTGAGTACATCTATTTATATGACTCTTCCGGGTGTCATTCCTAATTTTCCCTTATCTTAGATAAATCCTTGAACTTAAGCTATCTAACCCTTGCACAGCATGCATTTGCAGCTTTACTTGTTTACAATCCTTTCCACAGTAACTTGAATCTCATGACTGTACATGACTGAAGATTAAGGATGTTTTCTGAAACTACTTCAAACTTCAATCATTACATTTGATCCTCAAAAATTTATGTAAACACAATTTTTCTGCAAGAATATGATGAATAAAAGCAGCTCCAATCTTTAACAAGTACAAATAATTCTTACCCAATTACCCTCATCTTTACTACATTTTTTCCACATGGAATCTCTAAGCAGTCCAACATCATGTCTCAAAGATACAACATCACAAACAGACAAGGCACTAGTACACCGAACTTTAAGCTAATCCTTCAATTACACAAGAGACGCATTCCCCATCATCCAACCAATTTATATCGGCTAGTTAAGTTCAAGAAAATGAATATATGGACCACTGATACTGAATGTGCATAAGAGATACTTATTGCAGCATATATGCAAGTCACAAAGCCACATAGCAACAACTGGTTATAAATTGTTGGGCCCATATTATGCATACCATGTAACATCAAATGAAAAGCATCATATCTAGAGAAAGCTAAGTAGTTCTTTACCATTGATTCTTCATCACCTTCGCCAAACCGCAAGGCTAGATCACATAGAGCTTGGGTTGTAGACTCTACAGTCATTGGCTCCCCATAAGAGAACCTATGATTCTGTAAACAATAACATGATACATATAAATAACTAAATAATCAACTAACAATTAAAAGAAAACAAGGAACACTAACAAAACCTGAGTTTCAACTCGCGCATGCTCAACAAGTGTTCGAGCATCAGCAATTAGTCCACTCATTGCACAACCTATGTGCTGATCAATTTCCATGATCTTCTCAACACTGCTTGGCTCCTGAAAGAGAAGTTCAAAAAAAAAAAAAAAATTGAAGGAAGTTGCACAAATACAAAGATATCACTGCCCAAAGAAAATGTGGCTTGAACTGAGTGGATATCATTAGAATTACATAACAACATTTTGAGATCTTCCCCTAATAACTTAGACAGTAATCACATTTCTTAGACCAAAGAGAACAACCATATAACTGTAGGTTAAGTTAGAATATTAGATATTACGCTCATTTCTATTAGAACCTAAAGATAATAACATCTTTCACACAATTAAAAATAGGTGAAAGAAAACCAACGTTAGAAATATTAAATGTCATGGTACAAACACAATTTGGCTAATGCATATTATTATTAATATCACAATAGAGCCAGAAGTAAAATAATCTTCAAAACAATTTATTTTAGCAAAATAAATTATGATACAAACACAAAACCAACAGCATGACTCCGAGAGTGCAATATTCATCAAGTTCATCTGCCTTAAAATTCAGCACACAATTTTCTTACGTATATACTACTCATCACCTGCTCCAATATCAGAGCTACCATTGCGTTTCATAAAAATGTTTTTAGCTAATGATGCTGTACAACAATGCAATTTGGTAAATAAACACACCAACAGAGGTGAAGTGATACGCTTTTCAACTGCAAGGACAACACCTTCTTTTGTCTTCAACCCAATTGCAGTTGATCCCAGCTGCAGCCAACAAAAGCCAATTCTAATTTACAATTAATGTATATTATTATGCCAGCACAAAATCAGAAGAAGTAATAGATCGCTCACGCCCAATTAGCTGTATCAGTTCAAAAAATAAATAAATAAATAAATAGCATATGGGAAGCATGAAATAAGGCAAGCTTCCCCTGGCTCCATTATTAGCAAACAAATTCCAAATTATGAATATACATATAGACACACACACACACATAAAAAAACTGAGAGATTGATCATATAGAAATAACATGTCCTAACCATGGAAATAAACAATAAAAAGGAAATGAGAGATCACTGAGAAGAGCACTATACCTTGATGGCCTCAATAGCATATTCAACCTGAAATAGCCGGCCTTCAGGAGGAGAGAACGTATTAACTCCACGGTCATACTCAGTCCTTTCTCACATCCAAACAGAGTAAACAAAAGATTCAGATGGTTCCAGAAGAACCTTCATATCAACTTGTAAATACAGGGCTGAAGAAAACAACCGAGAGTGTGTGCGCGCGCGGCACGAGCATATTGCGTTAAAGAGAGGGAAAATGGGCTTCACTTGTTAGAAACATCTTCGTCCTGGTTTGATTAAGATCACTAAATGACAGAGGAAAGGGAGGAGATTAGGACAAAGATAAAGAATTAAAGAAAGGACATAACAGAATAGCAGCATTTGATTCTTGCGAAATCACTTTATGTTTTGCATTTTTTTTTCCTGTGTTTTGCTTGGCACCCATTGATAATTATCTAATAGCATAGAAATTTGAAGGGTAGGCCCAAAATAAAAAGGGGGGGGATCATTCCATCAAACCAACATTATCTTGGATTCGATCTTTGGAGTGGTGTATATGAAAAAATACTGTTGAGTGTTGGTCCAAGTAAGAAGGGGTTTGGGCACCTTAAACATCATGTCATGGATTCGATCCTTGGAGCAGTATGTATCAAAAAAACACTGTTGGGAGGGATCCCCACTACAGCGTCTGACAGTACTTTGAGAGAAACAAACTAACAATTCGGGTGGGGAGGATCTCTTGGCAACCAAAAAAAAAAAAAGAGAGAAACAAACTAAACCAAACCGGCATTAAGTTAGATCAAGTTTTTAAACTAGGAAAAATGACACTGAGGGTCCCATAGAATACAATACTACAAAAAGGTCTCAGGAAATTTGTAATAAATTAGAAGTCCCAAAGGGACTTGAGTGCAATTTGGTGAACTGTGAAAGACGACGCCTCTACCTTAGTGAGATGCATTCACAATAACTAAGAGTTGCCCTGTTTTTTCAATTCTTTTGCCATCATTTGTCTAAGTTCAAAGTGGCTTTTTTTTCCCATTGTTTTCTTCTTTGGCCTCATGTGATTGCTCGCCCTTCTTCATTGTCTATTCTTTCTCTTTTTGTAACCTCCACCAATGAGTAGAGGGCGTAGAAGGTCATGGTCTTTTTGTAAAAATTTAAAGAATCAATTAATGTAAATCTACACAACACTATTACTATTGACAAGTCAAGGAGCTATATTGATAACTATTGCAGCCCATATCGAGTTTAGTCCTTTATTATGTTTGTCTTCTATTTAGTTTATTTGTTCAATAAACTCTATTGTAGTGTGATGTATATTTTGAATGTTTGCATATGATGATATTTATGTTTGTGACTTAATTTTATTCAATTTTCTATCTTTTATTAATGATTTTATTATTTCATTTTTATTATTTTAATAAATATGTAATAAACATCAAAAGTTATATTTATAATTAAACAGGTTAAAAACCCGCAGCCGAGTCTTGAGCCTGTCACTTCACAGGAGAAATTTATCTATTTTTAAGACTTGGCGCGCTTAGACTCAAGCCCGTAACGGGTCGACTCTGGTGCTTGACAAAACTCCAAAAGGCGCGAGTGCATGATCATTCTGTGCATATAATTCTGGAATATGAACTTCACGCGGTTAGCGACGTCAGTTTTCTGGACGTCATTCTAACCGTCCACACATAAACGACGATATCAAACGACGATATCAAGCTGGGGAACCGTAAAAACACGTGGCACTCAATTATTGCGGGTAGGTAGTTTCTAGAAGGTCGTAGATGATACCGGAAGGAAAACGTGGTGGCCGCAGACAATCTGGATCTCCGAAATTAATACCTCTTGCTTTAAAACGAGAAGTCTTGTCTGCCGCGTTCCTATCGTAACGAGGGGGATGTCCTGGGAGAGAAGGACTAAGAAACTGTCCGTCACGCCCCACCCTAATTCGCTTCTTCGTCCTTCCTGATCTTAGGTATCTTATTTGCTCACCCCTCGCTTTTATTTGTTTAGGGGTTAGGGATTCTGGAAAGTATATATATGCCTGTTAAGGGAGTTGTTCAATTTGGTAATTCCATTTTTGTTTGGATCTTTGATATCTTGAAGTTTTAATTTTGGGAATTGGATTTCATTTCGGTCGGGGAATGTGTGCATGTTTGTCGTTAAGTTTCAACGTAATTTCGTAAAATGTGAGGATTGAGCTTTAAGCAGAGGCGAGGGAGACATTATCCTTCTGTTGTAATGATATTATTCGTTGTTTTCGCTTCACCTTGATGTCAGTTTAGATTAGTTGGAATGTAGATTTTTAATGGTGTAGCTTCTGTATTTCCTGCATTACGCCCTGCAGAAATCCTCATATAAAGTAAACTCATCTTTTTTGGGGGTGGAAGGAATTGGCATGCTTTGACTGATACATTTCTCATGTCTTTCCAAACATGAACTCCGATGGATTTTTCAAATAATTGTCGTTCATTTGTTAGGTTGTTCTGATAAGTTTCATCAACAGGTTTACGACTTTTGAGTGTTACCAGGCAGCTAGATATTTCTCTATTGAACTGTTGCTGATGGCTGAGGTATTTGACGCTAAATGTTGTTTCAATTATTCTTTTGCTATTCGGCTGTCTTCAAAGCAATTCACAATTGCTAGTGTACTTATCACAATAGCCTATATTGATTGTAGGAGGGTCACAGGGTCACTCTTAATGTTTATGATCTAAGTCAAGGACTTGCTCGACAGCTCTCATCAACATTTTTGGGGAAATCCATTGAGGCTGTTTGGTGAGTTCTTTTGCTTTTTTTTGTTTTTTTGTTTTTTTTTTGGCAAACTCTGTAGTCACCTGGGGTAAAAAAATTTGTTTTGCAATTAACAAGATAAAACTCCTATCACATATGCAAAATATCACTTAAGATAAACTAATAATATGTGGTATACTTTGTTCTGATGATAAGATCTCTTCATGACTATGCCTGTGTGATTGCTACTCAAATGCTGTGGATGTGTAATAGTACCTTGACTTGACATTCTTTCTATTTATTTAATAATGGAATGGATATCGCTCCTGGGCAGTATGCTACTTGCTTCTGCCCTGTGCTGTTATTTGTCTTTTTCTTTCTTTGTTAAGAAATGTGGTTGGCCTTGGTGTTGATGAGCATGTGAATTCTTTTAGTGTGCAATCATTGGTTGGCAGATTGAAATTCATATGACTGTGCACGTTGTGTTGTACTTCAGGCACACAGGAATCGTGGTTTATGGTAATGAGTATTACTTTGGTGGGGGTATACAGTATTCTCCTGCTGGATCAACTCCCTATGGAACGCCCCTAGAGTCGTAGAATTGGGTGTTACACACACGTGCCTAAGGATGTGTTTGAAACTTATTTAGATGAAATCAGTCCACGCTACACAGCAGAAACCTATAATTTACTTACACACAATTGCAACAACTTCAGCAATGAAATTGCCCAGTTTTTGGTTGGCGCAAGCATTCCTGACTATATTCTACAGCTTCCTAATGAAGTTATGAGCAGTCCAATGGGACACCTTATATGTAAGTTGTTGCCTTAAATTTACGCTTTTCTTAGATTCCTGTATTATCCCTTTTATGCACCTCTTTCAGTGCAGTGTGTTTAATGCTTTCTCTGAAGGAAAAAATAATCAAAGGCATTCATAGGTTTCTTAGTTTTCCATGGGGGATGCATTTGACAAATCCTTTTAGGGCATTTTCATCTCTGTGTGGAACTTCTTGGATTGTAGCACTTTATGCTAACTATTCAAAGCATTTTGCATCGATATACTTTCCTTTTTCGACTGACAATCTTAGGAAGCGTGATGGTTATTTTCCTAGGTCCATTTATAGTGTTTTGAACAAGTTTCCCCTTTCTTAAGTTGAACTGTTTTTGTATTTGTCTTCTTGTTAGAGTTTATTTGAGTTTTAAGGAATGATGCTCATTAAGCAACCGTTCTATTCATAAATATCGATGGGTGCTTGTGGAGGCATAAATTACTGATTCCCGCCACCATAAAATTTCATTTTGCAGTGCCTATGATACAGAATTTAGAGACAACATTGAGATCCGGCGCAGTTCCCCAAGTTCCCCAATTCAAACCTTCAATTGTGCCCCCTCAAAATCCTGCCTCAGCCAATACTGCAAGAACTTCAGGTAGCTCCAAGTTTTCTGCTGAGAAAGGATCTTCCGGAGCAGCGGATGTTGAAACTAAAGACAAGGTGGACGGCTTAAAGGCAAAGGGAAATGCGGTTCCACTTGCAGTAAAACATGCTGGGGAGAAAGAGAAGTCAGTCCCCAATGGAGTTGTCGGAGATCCTCTTGGTGAAGCCCGCAGCAAGGTGCAAGAGGAGATTGTTAGAGAGTTTGCAGCAATAATGGCAACTGGTTCTATGCGTGCTAGCGAGGCTGCAGCCCTTGCCACCAAGAGAGTGATGCAGAGATATGGGCAGACGGTTTTGTCATAGAGCTAGCATCATGCTACTCTCGTATCTCCACAATCTAGGGGATGAACTGACCCCTATACGGTGTTTTCATTATTTTTCCTTGATTGATGTAACTCCCAGATGAACTAGCGCCAAAAATGAAAAATAGATCTTCCTAATATAATTCGGATAATTCGTTATAACGCAGTTATCGACGTGGAAGCTTCTGATTTGCAGTTGTTTGTTAGTCTGCTGATTCCATTCCGTGTATTAGCATTTATCGTGATGACAATTTTTTAGGAATTGTAGTACCTTTTTTTTTTTTTTTAAAATGGGAAAGCATGGAGTTCTTTTAATATCAAGGCATAAAAATTTATTTAATTTATATTAGACATTGATATATAAATTTAATAAAGCACTGGGATAAATCTGCGGATTTGGTAAACTTATGAAAAACATGAACTACTTAATTTTATTCCTGAGATAAAAAAGAAATTAAATTTAAAAGTCATTTTTAGAACTAGAGAAAAAAAAAAATAAACATAATTTTATATCCTTGGGATTACAAACTTGTAATTATTAAACAAGTTGAATAGATAGACTTTGTGGGTGATTGTTTTAGGACTTGTTTTTATAATTTCTTCTTTAAGACCTCTTGTTAATTCTTCTTTATTATTTTTGTGAATCATCTTTTGTGAAATTTTGTACTATTGAAATTCTAAAATATTTAGAATGTAAATTTTTTTAAAAAATAGGAACATGACATGAACAAAATGAATCTCAAATAGAAAGTTGTTTGAAGGTGCTGTGTATCTAAATGAAATTATGAAATGTTTGTGCTTTTCCAGTACTCCCTCCATTTGTTTAAGAACAAAGTTAGCTTAGCCACCTCATTGGCTGCGGGCGGCCACCTTGCTGCAGATTGCTTGGTAAGGCATTTTGGGAGAAAAAATAGTTTATAGGTGTGATAAGTTAATTTGTAAATTTGAAAATTATTTGTCACAACTTTTGACCAATCTGACTTACAAGGCAAAAGTTGTTTTTTTAAACACGAGTGCAAAAACACTGAAAATTTACTTATCAAAAATAGCTTTTTGGAATTAAAAAACAATTTTACCCTTATGTTTATGTTATTCTTAGGCTTCTCTTTATATATTTGTTGTGGTTCCTAATCAGTTTTTAATTATTTATTTTTAATATTCTTTTAAGTGAAAATAATTTTTAATATTTTTTTAATAATATTTTTAATTTTTAATATTATTTTTATATTTACATAAATTATGCAGAGTATATCATTCAATTAATTATATAATTTATTTGGTTAAAAATTTCCACATTATATTGATTTCTAATTTAAATATATTTTATTTATTAAATATACATTTTTCATATTATAATAATTTAAAATTATTATATTTTGTAAATTCATATTTTTAATTATTTTTATTATTTAATAAAAGTCTTACCCATTTTGTTTATTCTATAAACTAAACTTATTTATTCAATTATAATCCAAACAATTTTTTTACTTTACAAACTAACTTTTATAAAAGTCAATTCAAATATAAATCACATTACCTAATCTAACTTTTCTAAAAGTCAAATTGAAAATAAGTTTTTTTTTTACTGTTAATTCTGACAGACCCTTGGTCTTTAGGGTTAGTTTTGGCAATGGCAGCAGGAACTTTTCCCTTTTGGAAAGTTGGTCCCGGCAAATTTTATGACGGAATCATCTTCTTAAGATAGTGCAAACTAATATATAAAAAATATTAAGCATTAATTAAGAGGCTTATAGCACGATTTGATTATTAATTAGTTTTAATTTAGTTTTTAACTAGTTGAATGTTGAAGAGATGATATTATTTAGTATGAGCTATTGTCTAACAAACAAATTGCTACAATGAATAAAATACTAGAAACAAATTTAATATTTGCAGTTTAAGGATGCAATCGTACGCAAGTTACCGAATTCCACATTCTACCTTTTCTCAATAGTAAAATATCAATCGCTCGCAGGAGAAAAAATCGATTTGATTCTTGAAGCGGTAGACCTATTTAGCTTTAATTCCCAAAATAAGTAAATGCAGCGATTCTTTGATCATAATAAACTGATTACAAACAGGCAAACTTCACGTCTTTATTTCATTAAGTAATTCATGTATTTAATAATTTTTTAGGGTTAAAACTAAATTAGTCTAGTAGTCCAAGGATCCAAATGCGAATTTTACTTTCATATGTTCGTGCAAACATGTAATCCTCTATTGAACTTTCATGTTCCGGTTCGATTTCCGAATGCGATGGAGATACACGAATACGTTTCAGTTACAGCAGTTGATGCGAAACAGTTGCTAAAATACGCCCTCAAACGGAGATGGGAAATAAAACAGTGTACCAGTAGGAACCAGTACAATGCAAAGGCCGCTATGACATGGTGCTTGATTGTTGGCTTGTGGGTAAAGTAGTGGAATTCACACCCTCGTTTTCCAATTCAACGCTCGCTTCTCTTGATTTTTTGAAGGCATCGGAGGGAATATTGATTCCGCCAAAGCCAATCATCACAGTCACTGCTCCCAGATAATCCAGCAGGCTAGGCGCATGGCCAGTCAAACTGTCCACGATAGCTGCTAACGGCACCTGAATTGTAAGTCCGGCAGTAGCCACCGTGGTTGATGTTAGAAGAACTGCCTTGGCCCACAAGTAATCGCTCAGCACGTTATCCAGCAACCCTACATAAAATTTTCACTAAGAGATAGGTGATGAATTTTTCTATTCACATTTACAGAAGCTGTGACAAACATAGAATCTCATAGAATTCTAACAAAGATATACTAGCATTGACCACAGCATGAAATCTAGCATCAGACTCCCTCAACAGGAGTTAAAAGTCATAACCATCGGATTGCTTCCTAGATTATACTCTTCCACTAGAGAATTTAAGTTATACTCGCAGAAAACTCATTAATAATCGACAATAAAGATCCATGTAGCATAATACTCACAAACAAGATGCTCAGAAGCTGATAATACAGTTGACATCCTAGCTTTCCATATCCTTTGGATGTCAAAGATAAAGTAATGCGCGGTTTTGCATTTTAAGTTCACCAATTTCACTCAATCTTATGGCCGAGTTCTGCACAATATTCTGTTAACTCGTTGCTATTGTTGATTAAAACTTCACATTTACAATTCTACAATATTTCGGACAAAAATGAAGAGCATTTTTTTTTTCCAGTTTGTTACATTACAGCTGAAAGGATTGCAAGAATGCATAGAAAAGAAACATGTTGCTTATTCGTTTTGATGTTGCCACTGTTTCCAAACTTCACGGAATTCAGAAATTTTATCACCAGTTGACATGACTTCAGTTCCAACAAAATTTACAAGAAACCCCCTTCCCAAATTCAATAAATTCTAGCTTTACTGGAAAGACCAAAAAAATATTAAACCATTTTTCCCATGGCAGGCACTTGACAACCAAAAATCTGTCAGAATCCAAGTTGTCATCAGACTATTTCCAACCAATGAAAGGCTGTAAATTAAATCGGCTTCTTCAAATGAAATGAATTCAGTTCTAAAAAGCAAGATAGAATTCACAAGAAATCATTCTTCCCACATTGAATCAAATTAGTTTTAATGGCAAGATCAATCATATCAAACCATTCTTTCCATGAGAGTCACATGAGAACCAAAACTGCGCTTCATTCCAAGTTTCATTAGAGTATTTCCAATCAATAAGGCTGTAGTTAAGTTGATTTCTCAAGTACGTTTTGTAAAATAATTTCAGATTGGTGGTAATATTTTCTTAAGCCTTAATTCTAATTCTAAGCACAACCTTAGTTCTTAATCCTCAGCAACTGAAACGAAAGGGAAAGAATCTAGGTTAGTTAACAAAGCCCTTCAAACTGAACTCATAAAGTACTGATGTTAATAGATGGATGAAGCACTAAGAATAAAGCTGCAGTTAGCAAAAGTTGAGGTAAGCCTGAACGCAAACACATACGAAAAAGTAGGTCTAAGCCTATGGTAACAAAGTAAAAAGCCGGAAAAAAAAAATCAGTTTAGGCCAAAACAAGATTTAATCCTATGATCTCCATTATGTCGCATAATTAATAGCCTTGATGACATTAAACGACACAGACACCAAGCCTGGAAGTAGCAAAAAGTTTTATGAATCATCAGAGATGATTAGTTGATATCTTTTCATTCAACTGTTCTATTTCAAACTCCACAGCTATGAACAGCCCTATAAAGTCAAGACTCTCAGGAATGCAGCCTGGACTATTTTTCTGACATTTGTAACCTAATAGCAAGCATTGTTGAAATTTAAATATGATTTCAGCCCAAAAATCTACCCAGAACGGGAGTTGCATTAATATCAGCACCTGTCATTCCCTTCAAACCCCATTTATGAAATTACATATTATGTATCAATTATCGCAGCTCTCTACTGCACAAATTAGTATATTACAAATGGAAGTGAATTCTCCCGACACAACTTTATGTTATTTTATTTATAATCTTGCCCGTTGAAAGATTGAAATCTTAAATCGTTTAGCTCAAAGTGGTACCCTAAGTCACCCACATTTTCTGATCCCATTGACAATAATTGCCCCCTCACGCTGATTCTCTTCAGAACTTAGGAAACACTATGAAGAATCAGTATATACCTTATTTCTCTTTCAAAAGTTAAGCATGAAGAGCAGTACTGCAACATCTCACTGGGGCAAGTTTGACAGCCCATTAATTATGCATGTATAAATGTCCAAAGTGTCAATAAAAGCATGCATATATGTTTGTCTTCTTTTTGTATAATACACGTAGAAATGAGTACATCACCCAAGAAAAAAAAAGGAAAAGAAATGACTACTCATTCTAAGAGAGGTAAAAGATATATACATATAATATGTGGTGTGTGATATAAAAGAGCGCATATCCTAAGCTAGAAAATAACAAGTAACCAATAGAACTTTTTTGTTTGTTGGTGAGAGTAACCAATCGAACTTTTGAAACAAGAAACTGATACAGAAATTAGCCAGATTTGCAAAAATAAAAAACATAATAGCAGCAGCAGCAACTATGAATACAGACCTTTACCAATAATCAGGCCGAGCTGCTTCCAGGTGAGTGAATGAAATGGTTCCACTTTGGTGAAATTTAATATGAGGGCAACAGGAAGAAAAATAAAAAGATTGAAAAGCCCGACATATCCGAGAAACTGAGCCATGCTGGCGCGGCCATTCATTCCATCATCATCAGGCAGTTTTTTGCGAATAAGGGTGATATAAACTGCATATAAAGCTGCTGAAACAATAGCGAGAATGTCTCCAAGAAAAGGATTTGAAGCAATTGTGCTTAGCCCATTTTGTGAATCACCTAGACTTACAATTATTGTTCCTCCCATGCAAAGAAGAACACTAAAGAGCTTTATCCAAGTGAATTTCTCATCCAAAAATGCCAGAGAGACCAAGAATGTAAAGAGACTGGATGCACTGCTTAAGATAGTATTCGACTGCATATGACATATACATAACGAAGTTAAGCCAGATAATTAAATGAAGGAGAATTTTGAAGCTAAAGACAAGACGTAAAATCCTTGATCTAGAGATGCTCACCGTGACTGTAGTATACTTCAACGAGATTAAAAGTGAGTTGGGCAAAGAACCAAAATGGGCATATCAATAGGCTAACTTTAGCCACCCTGTATCGAGTCCAACGCCCTTTTGCGTCCAATTGATTTTTAAGATCATCAGTCAAACTACCTTGATCGGCCAATGTCCCTTCACTATTCCTCTTCTGACTGACAAGCTCTTCATTCCGCACGGATGAACGGGCATCGTTGCTGACATTGTCTTCAAGAAGAGTAGCCTGCTCTGATTCCCCTAGCACTTCCAAATCGCTACTTCCCTCCTCCTCACTCCTCCAAAACCATATACTCCCATAAGAATCCTCCAAATATCGTCCAATCTCAACAATCGGAATGTACACTACAAACAATGAATTGCAGATATATGTGATAAGGAATGGTGATATCCCTGCGTCTACAACAGACTGAACTACAAAGCTGGCAGCAATCCAAATTGCTGCCACTGATACTATATATGTCAATCCTATAGCCCAATTCCAAGCTTTATCATTCATATCTTTTCAATCTATAGATATTCTCTAAGTTTCTGAAACACCAGAAACCGTTGTGGAATATTACAAGACGAAGAACCTCTTTGATGACCCAAAAAGAACGAAGGAGAGAACGGATTCACAAGTTGAAATTTAAGCAAAATCTCACATAAAAGCAAAAACCAGAAAATTCGACCACTGATTGCGAAGACAGAAGACAAACAAGCAAGCGATTATGTTTCGAGGGAGAAGGACCAATTCGTCATAACTTATTAAGAAGCAAGAAAATTTCATTGTGATCAATAGAAATCAGCCGGATCGGGTTTGGGGAGCCTATCATCCCATAGCCCATGCACGAGCACATCATCAGGCCTCATCAAGCCGAGATGGCATATTGGGTCGGGCGGCAGGCATCTTTGTTCGTCCTAGACCGATGTATAGGAACCGGACCGATCAATTTAATAGATCAAGGGTTCGCAAGTCAGGCATTCGGAGTTAGACCGCTTATAATTAAAATATAATTTTAATTAATATATATAATATTGATCTGTAATCATAAAAAATAATATTTAAATAAAAATACATAAATTTTATAAGTAAATAAAAAAATTAATAAGTACATAAAAAATTTATATATAAACTTACATAATTAATATAAGAGATGCATAAAAATAAAAATTTAAAACCATAATCTTGAATTAAATTTGTAGTCAATTCTATGCAGCATTGGAATTTTATAATGTATAAGTAATTTTATAATATATGTTTCTCTTGTGAAAATAAACAACATGTGTTTATCTGTCAAATTTTGCTTTCAAAAATGAGTTTTTTACTTGCTCCTTTTGTGTCAATTGTACTTGCCTATTACTTGAGCATCATTACATTAATCTATTATCCTAGGATTGGGCTAATGTTTTCTCAAACTGAGGAAACAATAAAAATCTGAGGATGCCATCAAAGTAGATATGGCAACTATTAAAGGGCTTGGCTTGAAGGAAGAACTCGTGTCCCTGATTATGGCCTGTACCTCGACAGTATCTACAACGGTAATTTGGAATGGGATAAAATCTCATAATATTGATCTGTAATCATCAAAAATAATATTTAAATAAAAAAGACATAAATTTATAAGTAAATAAAAAAATTAATAAGTACATAAAAAATTTATATATAAACTTACATAATTAATATAGAGATGCATAAAAAATAAAAATTTAAAACCATAATCTTGAATTAAATTTGTAGTCAATTCTATGCAGTATTGGAATTTTATAATGTATAAGTATTTTATAATATATGTTTCTCTTGTGAAAATAAACAACATGTGTTTATCTGTCAAATTTTGCTTTCAAAAATGAGTTTTTTTACTTGCTCCTTTTGCGCCAATTGTACTTGCCTATTACTTGAGCATCATTACATTAATCTATTATCCTAGGATTGGGCTAATGTTTTCTCAAACTGAGGAAACAATAAAAATCTGAGGATGCCATCAAAGTAGATATGGCAACTATTAAAGGGCTTGACTTGAAGGAAGAACTTCGTTCCCTGATTATGGCCTGTACCTTGACAGTATCTACAACGGTAATTTGGAATGGGATAAAATCTCATACTTTCCACTCGACTAGAGGATTACACAAGGAGAACCCCTTGAGTCTCTATCTATTCATATTGTGTATGGAAGATTGGGGCATATGATTGATGAAGCAGTTAAGGAAAAAAGGTAGAAGGGGTTGAAATACGTATGGAAGGCCCGATGATTACCCACCTATTTTTCTTATCAATGATTTAAGCTATTTGGAGAAGCCTTGATAGACCAAATTGATAGTATGCGGAACATTATGACGATATTCTGTGAATCTCTGAGCAAAGATCAGCCTAGCCAAGTCCAAAGCTTTCTTTTCAAGAATATTAACTTTAATAGAGCTCTAGATCTCAATCAACAACTGGGCATTGGATCACAACAAACTTTGGAAAGTACCTGGGGGTGCCTTTCCTCTATAGTAGAGTTACCAATATGACATATTTTTCCTTATTTCAACAAGCTCAAAAAAGTAGTCAACCTAGAAAATAAATCACTGATGATAGCGGAAGAACCATACTATTAAAGCAATGCTTCTCGGCTTGCCTGGTTTTACCTTATGCAATCTACCCTCCTCCCAATTGGGGTATTGAGAGATTTAGAGAGAGCTAGCCGCTAGTTCTTTTGGAATCAATCACAGGAGGGAAAGAGATGCACCTCATTTCATGGGATAAATTAAAGAGGGACAAATGCTATGTTGGGCTTGGAATCAAGGACCTAAGAAGCCAAAACAAGCTTTTATCACGAAGCTTTGTTGGTACTCATGACTAAGCCAAAAACGTTCTAGGTGCAATGTTTAAAGAACAAGTATGGATGTGGAAGTAAAAGCTGCCTAATGGTTTGTAAGAAAGCTAAGGGGTCCTCAGTTTGGAGAAGTATGTGATGGTGTAGAGAAAATTCCAAAAAGGCATTGGAAGAATGGTGAAGGATTGCAAGTCTACACACTTTTTGGTGGATTTTGTGGATTTTTTTTATATGAAGCTTTAATTTCAGTTTACATATAAGAACTTACACCTCCTGAACCCCTACAATAGGTGAACTCATTTGTAATGCAAATTGGAGAGTTGAATGTTGGAAGAAATGGAAAGATCCCTTCTAAGATATGTTCAATGTGATCAAAACATGAACCTCCAAGAGAAATAGTGAGTGATATTTTTGCTTGGCAAAATGCCTCAGATGGGAATTTCAGGATTAAAGATGCGTATATAATGGTTTTTAAGGGTAGGGGTAATGGTTCCACTCGTCAATAGAAGAGGATATGGAAACTCACTATCCTGGAGAAAATCAAATACTTCCTTTGGTAGGTTGGTAGGTTTCCAAGAGAGACTTCCTACAAACTCGTTGAGAGCCAGAAGAGGGTTAAACAGAGTGTTGAGTGTCCTTTTGAGTGTGAGAGAGAGGACATTGTTCTTCATATACTTGCGTGATTATGAGATTGCTTGAATGTGTGGTGCTCTTATTAACCCTAACAAACCGTTTTGCTTTCTTTAGATCTGATTTGCAGTGTTGTTTAAAGAGAACATAAGTCGTGGGGATGAAACACTGTAGACTGATTGATGGCCCTGGCCAAAGTTGTTTAGTTTGGTGTGCTGGAATTTGTGGAAGGAATAGACGCAGGAGAGCTTTTGACAGAATCAGAGCTCGAACAAAATGATTTTCCACATTTGTATGCACCAATTGATGGAGATAATAGACTACGGACAATTCCAACACCATATATTTAATCTTTAAGGGTTGGTAACACCAAATGGCAACCACCCTATGAAATTATGTCAGGTTGGACGTAGATGGCTCAGTGACTATGTCAAGACAAGCAGCCTGTTGAGAGTTGATAAGAGACACACGGAGGATTTGGATACTGGGGTTCTAAAAGTGACTGGGCCGACTCCTCCTACTCTACTATGATTGCTAGCTTACTAACAAAGCTAACAATATGCAGACAGCATGGTCTGCAAAGGATTGTTGCCTATACAGACTCCATGAAAGCTCTTCAGATGATTATGAGAGACAACACTCCAAATCACCCACTGAGAACGAAGACTGTTGAGATATGAGACATGATTTACTCATATTGGATTGTGGAACTCAAATATGTACCTAGGGAAGCTCTATAGTGTGCCGATTACTTGGCTAAGATGGCCTAATAGCTAAACTAGGATATGGTCTTGATTCATGAACTAGACTGCAGATGCTGAGATAGATTGGAATAAGACAAGAGACTGAACAACTTGCCTTATAATCCAGCTCCTTTTGTTGTTTAATTATCAAGCCTAGCTTGCCTCGTGGAAGGGGAAAAAAATAAAAATCTAAGGATCTAATAAAATGTCCAACAATTTTTACATAGTGGTTATTCTCCTCTTGTCCTCTTCTTTATTCACCCCAACATCCTCAACATTTTTCTTTTGAGTGTACTGAGTAAGAGCATCCTCAATGTCTCTCTTTCACTTCTCCTTTTTTGTTCCTTTCCTTCTCTTCCTCTGCAGGTCTTTGTTTAGACTTTTTCTTCTTCTGTTTTCTACTTTTTTGTAGGTATTAATTTTTTTAATTTTATTTTACTATATTCATCATCCAATGAATCTAGTTTTCTGCAACATTTCTCCTTCTACCTTCTCTTTTTGTAGCGCCTCTCCTTCTATTGTTTGCCGTTGTTGGGCAAAAAAACTAACTCGAGGAACCCATCCAATCCAACAGGTTACCTCAATTTAGTCCCGGGTTATACCGGTTCACCCCTCGACTTACTCTGAGTTAGTTTTCCAGCGAGTTAGCATATCAACCAAACCGAACATGTGCTCAGGTCTCTAGTTTTTGGGTCAACATGTCCGGTCTTACTTTTTCATACCATGTGTATAAGTTTGTGTGTATATTTGCATATATATTTTTTGTACAATTTTAATTTTAATTGATTTTATTTTTTCTATTTTGGCAATTTAAACCCCCCTCATCTCACCTAGGACTGCATATAGGACAGGACTGGGCAAGACAAGACCCATGCTCGATGCCCAGCTCGAAAGATGAGTAGGCTGTGTTTTGTAGCCCACTGCCTAGCCCTACTTGGTATATGCTCTAACCATTTTGGGCTGGGCAGGGCGGGCTTTTCTACCTAACTTAGTGACACCTTGCCCATATCATATGAATTAAAAAATAATATTTTATATATAAATATTATATATATATATATATATATATGAATGACTCAATTATATATATGATTTGAGAAGAGAGGAAGACCTGATTGCATGTTGTCTAAGATTAGAAGTTGAGAGAGAGACGGAAAAATAGAGTAAGCAGTGTTTATAATTTTAGTTCAATAAATTTCAGTTTAGCCCCTTAAATTTATGAAGTATATTTTTAGTTCTTTAATTTCAAGATTGGTAAGTTTTATTCACGGAAAACACTGGCCCATCAAATTTAACTATGATAAAATATGTTTCAATTTTAATTTTAATAATTTAGTATAAAGATTTTTATATTTTAAAGGGAACATTAATTTACTCAGTCTCTCATTCCTGGACTTTGACTCGCCGCCCAGTCACTCATCTTTTCATTTTTTTTATCATTCAGTTCTGAGTCATGCTATGTGGCTTGATTCAAAGTCGGTTCCCACGTGACAAAATTATTCCAATTGACCTCCTCTCAGTCTGCTGCCTTACCTCCTCTCAACAGCCGCGTGTTGATCTCATCACCTTCAGGCTTCAACCCCACCGTCAGCCATTGGTTAGCTCACCCCTCTTATCTCCTAGCTCACTCATCTTACCACGTTGGACCTCTCTCACAGCTTTCTTCGGCCAAATCCCACCGTGTCAAGCAAGTTGAAAGATCACATATCTGAAAATGTGATTATTGAAGGAAATCGCTCAGTGTTGAAGAGAACATATATAAGTTCTGATTCTCTAATTTGTGCCTATATTGTCTCTACCTGAAGAAGTGATTTCCTCTTCACCCATACCAACCAGTGAGCTTTGATGATGCTGCAACTAAGCTTCGGAAAATCTACAACAATTATCGTACTAGAAGAAACCTCGCAGACTGTACCGTGGTTTGAAGAAACTCTGGTTAGTATATAGTCTGACTGTCTGAGTACGTATAAGCAATAAAATTTGATTTATTGGTATTATTTGCTTAAATTCTTGCGGAAAATATGTGTTATCGATTTGTTGCTGTTAACGGGTTTAGGCGGAAGGCATTTGACTTTGCTACCTCAGATGGAGTTTTTTTCTTTCCTTTATAAAATCATTCATTTGAGATTGGGGACTTAAGAAGAGTAACCTTTATGACCTTGAAGCTTTGAACTACAGATTTGATCCATTAAGTCTTGATGGGGCAACAAATTTGTTCTTAACCATTCCCTGAATTTGGCCGGAGACGGTGACGTGCGGGGGTTGAGAGGAGGTAAGGTAGCAGACGCGGCGATGAGTTGGAATAATTTTTGCCATGTGGTGGCTGAGTTTGAATCAATTTTTACCACATAAGATGACTAAAAACTAAATTATAAAAAATGAAAAGGTGAAGGCCTGAGTCATAGGTGAGCTAAAAATTCAAGAAATAATTCATGGTTGAGAAATTGAGTTACAAATAACTTAAAAGTTAAAAGACTAAAAATTTAATTTTTCATATTTTAAAACTAAAATGAAGACAAAAAAAAATGCATCTTCTCCACTGTTCCACAGTAAAGTCTCCCTCCCCAGATAAGGGAAATTAAACGCTTCAACTGAATTACATGACAATAGATGAATTATATCAGCGAGAACTCAATTCTCAGTTGAACATAAGTTCAACTGAGAATTGAGGACCTCAGCATTTCCATCAGTTGTAACGTGACGAATTTTTAGATTTTAGGAGAACCAACAAACAAAATTATTTAAGCCATTTGTTGAGGAATAAATTTTTTTTATAAATTTTTAAAGTCCTCAAAATATTATTTCATGATTTCTCCCAAATTTTCTTAGGCATTTAATAATCTTAATAATTTTTCTAAGAAAATCGAGTGTTTCCAAAAATTGATTCGGATGTTACATCAGCGACAAAAAAAGGATAAAATTTGTAATCAACATGATGAAACATTATTCTCAATTCTTATTGTTAATGAATTTTTGTTAAAATGGCACGTGGTTTAATTCGAAGAGAATCTCGTAATAATTAGTTGAAGAAACGAATCACCATATCAGTCGGCAAATTATATCGTAATATTGACAATCCAACAAAGAAAAATTGGGATCACGTTGCATTTCGGGTCTCGTTCTTCTTTATTTGAATTGATTTCGTCGCATCTTTGATTATTGCAAATTCCAAACAACTTCTTCAACTTCTGATCATTACGATTCCAACTCCAAGCTCCCACTGAGGACAATCCTCGAGGCTATATGGCCTCCCGTTGTTCTAGTTTTGAATATAAAAATCATTATGTTAAACAATTAAAACTTAAACATTTTTTCTCTACATTTAATTGTAGAATATCGATTTTTTGTTAATAAGATCATTATGTTATTTTGAAATTTATATGAGAATCCTAGAAAGACGTAAAACTTCAGAAGTATTTTGAAAAAAAAAATCATTCGATATGTTTAGTACGTAAAATGTTATATGCATAAAAAAGTATGTGTATATATAATTGCCCAAGGACAAATGTATTGGAAAAATAAATATTTTTTGCATTTTACTCAACTTGTACCTTGAACTATTGAAATGGAGAGTAGGGAATGAAAACTTAATTCGATCCAACCCTCTTATGACCTATACAATTAGGATCTGCAACATCCAATTAATTAACCAATTTACAAAATATTGCAGATCTGCCTACTCCTTTTAGATGGACACAGTACAATGGATTCAATCCTTAGATACAATCTCTATTTTCCAGTTCCCTAGAGCTCCTTTTCCTTCTATGATGCAAGGGGCCAATCATAATTGAATGGCAATACTTTAAGCTCTTATTACTAAAGATGGATCCCATATTTGCATGCAAAGTCTTTTTCAAACTCTGGAACATTAGATCCTTTTTGGAATATTCCCTGGTCAATTTCTCTCCCTTACAAACAATTTGCTTTTAATCCAAACGCCAATTCATCATTTTCTCCCTACTTTTGATATTCTTGACAATCATCATATATTGATGTCATTGGTTTTTTCGCTTGTTTGGCGGTAATAATATTGAAAAACCTCTGGATCACTTTTTCATATCTTGTCATCATGAGATCTATTTGGGTTATGATTGCTTCTCTATTAAGCTCATAGATAGATTACTCACTCCCAAATTTTGTAGTATGACTGATACTTAATTATGTTGTTTCAAGGGATGATCAGTACTGCTTTAAATTGTTACATGGTATTATCATTCTCATTAATATCTTATGCCAATATTACACGATTAAGGAAAGGTTTGGCCTCCCTTCCAGTGAGTGATGCAACAAACTCTAGGTACCGTTGTTTCTCTCAACCTTGGCTTTCTCTAGCTATAATTATCACATCAAAATGTTGACTCCAACTTCATCTAATAACACTGTTTCTCAAGTATCAACTGATGGTAGGTCTATCATTTTATATGAGGAAAAACAGGCTAGGAATTGCTATTTTGTCAAGTAGTTGTTTGCCTACATGGTTCGCCATTACAACAATTCTTATGGAAAAGGTGAGATGCTGATCCATATCTTTTTGTAATCAACGCTTTCAGGATGCTATTATTTGGATTCACAATTTTGGGTTTTTTTCTTCAAGAAGTGATGACTTCTTAATAAATTGTGTATTGAAAAGGAGTTCTTAATCTAACCATTCAGAATGTTATTTGGATGGACATTTCTTTTATGTCTAAGGCCTTCTCAAGTGTTACGTTACATTTAACTCAAAATTCCCTCTCTTTTCAGCTTATACTGAATTGAAATTCTTATCATGTTTCTTTTTCTTCTTTGGAAGAGCTCTCATTTTACTTTTATTATAACATTTTGTCTTATTATTTTTCGGTCCTAAATATAAGACCCTTATACTAGTCTTACATTTAAACTAGAGGAGTATTATTTTGGAATCATTGGATATGGATTTTTGGTATGATAATCATTTTGTCTACAAAAATATACTAAATTTAGTGGTCTAAAATTACCATGCATCTATAATGGACAGTACTAATTCGCGCGCACACATATATGTCGTTAATATTGCATTTGTTATAATTTTGTTAAAAATTAAGTCCGCATACCTATACAAAAATGATGAATGTTGAAATGGAGAATTGATTTGATATTTCTGTAAAACCATTATCTAGTCAATTCGCAAACCGAAACATACATGCGCCGAACTTGTCTAAATTTAACGTGCAGTTCCTCGCCACTTAGAAATAAATTTTCCCAGCGACCATGAATATTTAAAAGCCAGTCAAGTGAATTAGATGGATGACTTTATGACTCTATATTCATATCACACAAATTTTGGAAGTGTCTATTTGCACATGAAACAATTAAATGTCAATTTACAAAGAGGGAGAATTTGCATTTGCTGTGTGTACAGCATTATTCCTAGAAGCCGAACCCCATTTTATGGCTTCAGCAACGGCTCGCTGACGTTCGGCATCGTTGTCGTTATCAAGAAGGTTGGAATGTGGTTGCGTTGGGGAGGGCGAAATGTCGGTGGCGGGGGAAGGGTGGTCGGCTTCGGAGCCTGTGCCGAGAAAAGTGAGGGCGGTGACTACGTCGCTGATCAAGGGTCGGGCAGAGGGTTCCTCGTTAAGGCACATGGCGGCCACTGCCACCGCTTGGTTAAAGGCTCTGACAGGGAAGTTTCTTTGAAGAAGGGGATCAGCCAGCTCTAGGTATCTATTGGGATCCTTGAATATTGGTCGTGCCTGCAGATGAAAGAAGTAATATATCATGAATTAACATTCATTGGATGATGATGAGTAGTTTGTATATTGAAGTTAGCTAGGAACAGACCCAAGAAACAAGATTTTGCTCGCGGGTGGGTCTGGTGTTGTCAATCACTCGCTTTCCCGTGATGAGTTCTAGCAAAACGACACCATAACTGTAGACATCAGATTTGACAGTGAGCTGACCAGTTCTTTGATACTCAGGAGCACAGTAACCATAGGTTCCCATAATTCGGGAGGAGACATGAGACTTGTCTCCTGTGGGTCCAAGCTTGGCCAATCCAAAATCCGACAGTTTTGCATGAAACCCCTTGTCCAGCAATATATTTGAGGCCTTCAAGTCTCGGTATATCACAGGAGGATTCGCCTTGTCGTGCAAATATTCCAGACCTTTCGATGCTCCCAAAGCTATCTTCATCCTCACACCCCAATCTAATGGCCTCTCGTGCGGTTCTAGATCTGTATCAAACAATAATATACATAAATTAGTTGAAGAATTATATATATATTTGTACGTTGAACCTTCAGGTAGTTATCGTCTTAAATCTTACCAAGAAGATGGTCTTCTACAGATCCCAAAGGCATGTACTCGTACACCAATAATCTTTGATCTCCATCCGCACAATATCCAATAAGATTCACCAGATTTTCATGGTGCAGGAGGCTTAGCATCAACACTTCAACAAGGAACTCTCTATTCCCTTGCAATCCATTTCTGTCGAGCTGTTTCACAGCTACAATCTGCAAGTTCAAAATCACCAACATATTACTTCCATTCTCTCCAAATCTAAGTTTGTAACCAGGTCCCTATATGCCAACTTCGGGTCACATTATATTTTTCATTTCTTGACAGTGAAAAACCCAAGAACTGCGAGAAAACTAGAACTATAAAAACTTTGGCAGGGAAGAGAAAAGAGAACTTTGACATGAAACAGCGAGAGGGTGATTAATTGAGTAAACTACATACCTGGTTGGTTTTATCGAGTTTTCCCTTATAAACTCTTCCGAAACCACCTTCACCAATGAGACATTCTCGCCGAAAGTTCCTGGTGGCGGCGGCCAATTCTCGAAAGGTAAAAGTTTCGGCGACGATGTTATTGTTGCCGCCATCTTTGTTTGCATTGCTATTATTATTTGGTCTTCCCTCACTTGGCTTTGAAGAATAATTATTCTCTGGACCCAACACAATGATGCATCAGATGCAAATTTATATCAGCACAGAGATGTAATGCCTTTTACTCCCTCTCTTATAATACATTTCGATTTGAATATTTTCAAACCTAATTAGAATAGCTCATCTCTTAACATATTTTTTCTTCAGTCTATAAGATTCAACTCTCAAATTTACTCCTAAGATTCAGCTACGGTTGACCTATACATCTTATAGACTTTTAAAGATTTGCTATTTGAGTACTTTTCCTTTTTAATTTCATTTGATTTTACAATGAAAACGTTACAGAACTTAACTTTAGGTGTTTTGTTTTCTTCAAAATATGTATATACTACCTCCAATTCTTAATATGCGACCTAGTTATAGTTATGTGGATTCAATTTAGTTATAAATATAAAATTTCAATCTATTTTAGTTTTCATATTTATCTATTTTGTCCAAGTAATCCATATGGCGACTGCTTATGTTACGGAATTTTCATCAAATATAATTATAATGAGGATATTTTGAAGAAGACTAATACTTATTTATTACAAATAACTAACTTCACTAATTTTTTTAATATTTACAAATAACTCTTGTATTAATGATCAGAAGTAGTATTTAATAAAAAAATTATAACAGGGAGCCATCAGAGTCAATGGAGGGAAAGGCAGACTCAATATCCTCCACCTTTCCTCTAATCAAACCAAACACGGCACACTCCTCCTCCCCTCTATTGAACTAATATTATTTTTGTTTTTGAATTCATTGTTGAATCGAAAGTAAGAGAAAACACGAATAAACACTAAGAAGCAACATTGATAAGGAAAATAATAAAATATGATACAAAAGAAATATATATACATATCAATTTCTGATCAAATTTAATATATATGAATATATTTATGGTACTACATTTTTATTTTGTACATCGATTCTTTCAGGTAAGAAACTTGGGACGATAAAGAAAATGAAGAAAGATGACAAGTTTAATTACCTTCTGGGCGGACGTGAGGAAGCAGGGCTTCTTTTTGAGGCTGACATGGTTGCATTTGTGCCCTAATTCCTTGTTTGGGCTTCTTCTGTGCTGCTTTCTTGTCGTTGCATGAAAAACAAGGAAAGCAACTCATCTCTCCAATAAAATTCAATACCTCAATATTTTTTTTAACAAAAATCTGATCGAATATTTTGTTTTGAGCTTTATGGAAACCCCATTTCCTTATCATAAACTGATAACAATTCCTCTCATAGAATCACGCTGATTGCGAGAAATTTATATAGCGGGAAAGGCTTTATTAAATTTTGAATGATCACCAAGGAGAAAGTGAAAATATTTAAGGATAGAATCACTCCATTATTGAAATAAATTAAAAAATAGAAATGTGGGAAAGAAATTAAAAGTAATGTGATTTCAAATAATTCCAATTGATGAAGCGAATTCAGATGCAAAGCGTAAAAGATGTGGGAGAGAATCACTCAACTTCATATGAGAAGGAAGAAAATTACTAAGATTCCAAAACTCAGCCGGATCATTGAAGATACACTATATTGAATCGCCAAGTTTAAAAGGAAAAGAGGCAAAGAAAAGAAAATGAAAATCTCAAAATCAGTAGGGTTTCAAAACTCAGATTGAAGATGTAAATTGAATTGCCAGATAAAAAGTAAAAAGCAGAAGCAAAACGAAAATAGAAAAATAAATTATGAATGAGGTTTCAAAGTGAATCGAGGAAACGCGAGAAAAGAATTGAAGGGCCAAAGTTGGAAAAGGGGAAGGGAGAGGTGTGCCTGGGATGGCCGCCAAAAATGGAGTAAAAAGGAAGGGTATTTGGAAGCTGTCCTAACTGTAAGACTGAAAGACAGGGAACCAAATGTGACCAATTTGTGGAGTATATGCCATCCCTTTAACACAATGATCTAATATAAGATGACCCCTTCGCCAAAAATAGATATATGTAAAAAGGAATCCGTGGTCCAGTTTATTATTTTATTACATGTGCCTGCTATATATGGCGCTATCAATATGGTCGATATATATGTGTGTGTGTTTTATGGCTCTAATGCAATAAGGAGCGTACCAGATGATACTGATAATATTAATGAGGAATCCTCGTGCTACGGTAGGCAATCGGATTGTTACACTGGAATCATAATGTCAGAAAAAGCTACAAATAACAGAAATGACAGAGAATTGAAGGAGCAATACCACGGAGCGTCCAGAAAGAAAGAGAAAATCACAGATACAGAGAGAATCACGTCATACTACCATGACCTCTCTCTATCCCCATTACACTCTATTTATTCACTCACTTTCCATGTGGCTCTCCTTACTCTCTGGCTGCGTCTTACTACCGGCCCATTAACTGCACCATTCGGTCCATGCTCGTTTTGGGCCATGACAGTGTGTGTGTGAAGTTAAATTTAAATTTTTTATGATTTTCAAAAGTCAAATAGTCAGGTTTGTGCATTGCACCAAACCTTGTATATATACATTGCAAATTGTGTTGTACATGACTTGTGAACCATATAACTTGTTTTAATAGTTGATTATCCTTATAAACTTTATTTAAAAGGGAAAATATGCCAAGAGTTACTTTCCCTATAGTTTAGTAGAGATTCAGGACCATTTAGAGTTGTGGAGGGTTCAAATACTATGTTGAAGAACCACTTAAAAATGTACGTACGTATACAGATAAAATCTCAATAAGGCGAGAATGGTTTGCCAACTCCGGTAAGACTCAATTAAACGTTCCGCATTGGGAAGTGAGTGAACAAAACAAGGACATATGTATGTATATATGTATATGAGGGAAAAGTGGGCTTGGTTCCTCTATTAATGCAAGGCAGAAAATTTGGACTGTCCACATTTTTATATGTAATTCGACCTGCCAACTCCAAGCCCCCAACATGCTCCCACTTTTCTACAGGCAACGGCCTTGTCAGCATATTTAATTTGCTAGATTATTGTCTACTAAGATATTTTCTCCTTTGAAAACAACTTATAATCATCCTCCAAATGCGAACCACGTACCTTTGCTCTGCTTTTCTATGAAGGGCAATTTATTTCTTCAATCTATGCATGTAAACCAAGACCATACCCCAAGGATATATATATACGCACACGCACGCACGCATCAAAACAAGCAGCATCAGGAGCTTTTATTTGTTTGCTTTAGTCCCGTTTCATCATGCTTCATATGGAAGATATACTTGAGTGCCATTTTGTTCTATAATGAAGATTTTTTTAAATCCTTCGAATAGCAGTACTATTAGAATTCTGCATTAATCACAATTAAATGCTTGTCATTTATACCAAAATAGCTTAATCTATTTTTGGAGGAACTCACCAATGTTTGCGCTCAACGCTCATCACTCGAAACACACTGTCTCAAGTGAGCGAGCAAATCTCACCCGTTTATTGCAAAATAATCTGAGCCGTCAATTTATTTAATGCATTCCTCCTCCAATTTCTTTCCCAACATGTATGCTATGTTTGGATGGAGAGAAAATGAGGGAGGAAGAAAAACTAGGGAGGAAAATGGGGAGAGAAGTTGTTTTTTCTCTGTTGGGATGAGGGAAGAAAAGTAGGAGGAAAGAAAAGTTGGGGAGAAAATGAGATGGGTCCTACATCTCATTTTCCTCCCAACTTTTCTCTCCATATATGGAGAGAAAATGAGAGGAAAAATAAGAAAACATATTTTTCTTCTCTACCCTTACATATGTTTTTTAGCAAAATAATACCTTTTTCCCCCTACATTTTTTCACTTTATTTATTATTATCAAGTCTTTCTTTTTTGTTTGCTTGATTGAAAAATAAAATAACTAAAACTGCAAAAAAAAAAATCCTTCTAAAATGAACTAAAAGGAAAAACAAGTAGAGTTGTTGTTTTGGTTTTTTTAGCATTATATTACACAAAATGTTATTTTTTTCTTTTTTTACAAAATTATTTGATATTAAAATATAATAACATGATAATATATATTTATCAAATAATTTGGTTTTAAATTATATGATTATCTTAATGTAAAAATGGTTTTTCATTATGATATTTAATTTGATTTTAATCAAGATATATTTTGATATAACAGAAAGGGTATTTTAATCATTCATATATTTACTCGTTTTCTTTCCTTTCTGTTTACTCTTGTTCATCCAAATATAAGAGGTGATAATATTTTTTCTTTAATTTTCTCTCATCTCAACTTTTCTTCCCATCCAAACAGAGGGGTAGAGTCCATGAGCAGCGAGATGCAGCAACTCCGACGACTTGGTAGGATCAGCACATAGTAGTTCAAGGTGGTAAATGGTAATGGTTATTTGATGATTTCACCAGGGACCGAAATGGTGATCTAAGGTTATCAGTGTTTATGCATCCATTGTAAGTTTGATGCTTTCAGCATTGGTAAGCTTTGGCATCTTAGAGGGTGGAAGGGTTGGGTCTAAGAGAAGGTTCTACAAAATATTGGTGGATGATCCATAGGTAAAGGATTTGAATCTAAAATTCCCAACTTGTTGCAATTTTCTAAAAACCGATAATGATATTTATATATAATGCATATGGTTGAATCATTTGATGCGATTCCTCATATGTTAGTGTTTCATGAGTTGTCTTCCACAGTGTTCAAATTGCACACAAATTTCATCATGGTTTGGTAATTTGTGACATGGTTTTGGTTATGTCGCTTTAATAATTTTTTTAGATATAATGACATGCTAATATTGCATTTCTAGTGATAATATTTTGGGAAATAAGGGTCAATATTGTGGACGTTACTGCAATATTCTATTAACTAGTCCTCCTAATTATCTGATTAATTATATGATGTGCTTTGTATGTAATGGTAAATAAAGTTGCTGATCTGTTTCAAACTTATCCTCTTCTTCAAATAATCCACCTAAAAAAGAAGCAAAATCAATTGTTGAGTTTAGGTCAACAATTTCTGTAATTCATAAAAGTTATGCTTCTAAACACAAAAATTGCACTTTACCATAGTTTAAGTTGCCTCCTATGTTGTTAGTTATAACACTCATATCAGAATAATAAAAAAGACTTTTTTGTGACTTGGACATTATTGATTTAGAGGATGTCACTTTTATCTAATGCATTTTGTAGCTTTAGTTCTAATTTTTCTGAGGAATGGTGTGCAGAAGTCAACTAAACATATATGGCTGAAACAAGGATTAGAGCATGGTAGTGAATATCAACCAAGTCCTTATATTAGTTAACTTGTAGTAGTGTAACAACCCCCGTAATTCAAGGTAAATAAACCTTTTCAAAAGGATAATTACTTTAAAAGGCTAACCATGGTAGGAAGGACAACCCTAATCAAATAGAAATCTACCATAGACAATAACAAACCAAATCTTTAACAGAGTAGTAGCTACTGTTCTAGAATAGTAAAGATAGTTAATCAAATAAGAAAGGATCAACATTTGATTTTCCATTTATATATCAAATCCATCAGCAATACTCTGAAATCTCAAATACAATTAAGACCAATTGTAAATGGGCTAGGGCATTTGAAGTCCACCAAAACAACTACCACTGCTGCCCATTATCAAGTGCAATCACAATAACAATCACATATGTCCAAAAAGGGCTCCGCCTAATAGTACAAGTCTAGAATGCAGCGGAAAGGCTATGATAATGTTAACTAAAACAAAAAGGCCCTAAAGTTTGGCAATATACGTCAGTCAAATCATGTATATCAAAATAGAGGCTATACTGAGTGGAAAGGAAAACTCAAGCCTCGGACACCTTCCCCTTGGGACCAACACCTAAACCCTCGCCTGAAAAATGTTAAATAACCACGGGGTGAGTCAAATTGACCCAGTAACCACAATTTCAATTCAACAGGTATCTAGGGAGTGATTACAAGATAGCTAAGCGGGCAAAGTACAATTTCAAATAACATATAAGTTAAACATCTTTACAGAAAACAATATATAATAATTCAAAAAGTAACTTGCATACATAGGACTTCATCAACCATCCTTATAACCTTCTTGTAACCTCTGACAGAACCCATAGGCTATTCACACATAACAGGATTCGTCTCTTTTACAAGACTGCACCTGTAACATCCAAAAATATATATATTTAGATTTTAGTTTATTAAAATGAGATTAATT